AGAAACAATAGTAGTTTCTGCATAATGATTTCACAAAATGATAATCGGTCTTCCTCTGTAGGCTTTCCTAAAAATAAATAAAAATATAAAAAATCTTAGTGATTAAAAAAAATACTAATTTAAAATCAATATTATGAAAAGCAATAGATATACCATTTTGTTTTGCTATTTTTTGTAATAATAAACGTATCTTTCTTGATAAGAGATCTGGCAATACTTCAGCACAAAATAGGCATTTATTTTCTATATAAAATATAAATTATATTAATAAATATATAAAACAATTAATTATAAACACTATTTATCTTTATTAGATTCAGAACTAGTCTGATTCTCTTCTTCAAATATTTGATTGTCTAAAGAAGGTTGATTATAATCTTCAACTGTGTTTTTTGGATTTATTATTATTTTCTAATCCTCCTTTGATTCTTTTTTGAGATACTCATCCTATATAAATTTTAAAATTAGTAATTAGTTTACTAAATACAGTATTTAAATACATATTATTTTATCAATAATCACTTCAATAATGGCTTAGTTTACTAACAATTCACTAAGTTTATTTTTACATTTATTTCGCTAATAAGATCATTTTGCCAACAGTTTATTTTACCAACAGCTTATTTCACTAACAAGTTTTATTTACAAATTGTGATAACTTTAATTCTAACCTTATCTTAACAGCAATAACTAGAATTACTTTGTCTGTAAAATAAGCTATCAGTAAAATATATTGTTAGTGAAATGAACTTGTCAATAAAATAGGTAATGATAAAATAAACTTGTCAATGAATTGTTGTTAGTGAACTAAGCTGTCTGTTAGTAAGTTGATTAGAGCTAAAAATATATATATATAATTAAATAATATTAATTACCTTTTTGTTTTACACTTATTGGATTCATTATTTTATTAGATGAGAATGCTTGTTCAAAAGTATTTACAGTTAATTCTTTTTGAACTAGTTCATTAAAAGAATTATAGAAGGTTTTTGCTGTTTCGGGTTTTGTTTTTACAATTTGTCAAACTTTATATCATGCTCTATTTAAAAGATATTCATATTCAGTATAATTATCTTCTGAAAAATTGTTTTTAGCTTGGTTTGATTCAATATTAGTTACACTATAAAATGTTCTATAAGTTTTTGCTATAGTGTATTCATTAGAATCTTTATGCCATCTTAAAAAAAATAATTCTGAGTTAATTTCTTCTAGATTAAGTTGAGAAATTACTCTAAAAATATAGCGATATATAATGCCAGAAAAGTTAAAATAATAGCATGAACATTGAAAATATTGAGTTGTTAAATTATATTTAATAATTCTGCCAGGTGTTTGACTTTGAAAGCATTCTATACAGAATTCTGTCTCATTTTTAAAATTGGTTCTAATTTAAATAAATAAATAAATAAATAAATAAATAAATAATATAAAATTAAATTAAGTTTTACCTGATTTCTTAACATTTATACATTGAACTTTCTAAAAGTTGAGTTTGAGTTTTTTTTAATGCATATTGAGTTAAAAGTTGCATAGCCTGTTTTTTGACAAGACTTTTTGTTACTAATTGTACACTTATTACAGATTCACAATATTTTAAAAATTTTAAATTCTCTTTTCTTTGATTAAGTGCAGATTTGAAAGCCTTTAAAAATGTTGATAAAGAGGTTGTAACATCTATATAGCCTTTCATTAAATTATTCATTGATTTACCTCTTTGTGTTGTAGTCATATTAGCCATAAATATTTTTTGATTATAACAAAGAGCCCAAAATTGTAAATTTTTATTAAATTTTTAGTTGTATTAGGATAATCTATTTTTAAAAATACCCATTGTTTAATAAAATTCTCCTCATTATATTCATCTAAACATTTATAAAAATCTTTAATAAATTTTGCCCATGATGTTCTAATGTTCTATTTAAATTTTTCATAATATTTTTAAGTAAATACCATAAACATAATGCATGTTTTGTTCTATATAGCTAAAAATTTTGAGCAACAGCTCTTATTATTGCTTGATCTTCATCTGTAAGAAGAGCTTTTGGTATATAATTGTTTACTATTTTTAAAAAATTGCTAAATACCCAATTAAAACTTTCAATCGTCTCATCATACATAATTATACTGGCAAAGCAAACACTTTGATCATAATTGTTAACTCCTATAAAAATTCCA